CACACACACACACACACACACACGCTTCATCATCATCATGTCACACTGGACACTGATGACATGATCATGTGATGAGTCAGTATGTGCTTGTCTGTAATGGGCTGAACTCACTCTCCGGGGCCTCCACAGTAACAATAACACTGCTGCTGATTGGTCCGGTGCTGAGAGTCCCAGTCCAGTGAGTCCAGGTCGTACAACAGCACCTGCTTCATGGCTGACAGAGCTTTAGCTACTGGACCTTTCTTTAGAGCGCCCCCTTTCTGTGAGGAGGAACACACCGTAAGTCTCTTTGGAGATGAAGCAATGATGATGGTGTGCATGTCTGTGTGTATAGCTGCTTTCAGACCTGCACTGAACTCTGGAGTTTCTCTGGAGGAGGTGCATGTGTGAACACAAAATTCTGAGTTAGAGCCTCTGAAGTTTCTGCAGACTTTCTGCGTCTGGACCCTGATATAAAGTCCACAGAAAGTCTGGAGGATCATGTGTGAACTCAAATGTCAGAGTGAGACTCAGTTTGTCTGTCTCCTCCTTCACTCCAGTGTAAAGTCTAAGTCCAGGAGAAGTGAGGACACAGCAGAGCGTCCTCCACTGATCCACTGAGGGAGTGGGAGGGTGATGAGCTTCTAACACGTGACACAGACATGAAGAAACACAAACAAATGTCTCTGGTGACAAAGTGCTGACACACACGTAGAAGACACAGACGAAGACGTGAAGACAGTTTGTGGAGAGAAGAGCTGACGACCGTTTCTTCCACCTGGGAGTTTTTCCTCCCCGCTGTTGCTAATGACTGGTCGGAGTGGAACAAGTTGGATTTTGTCTTTTTTAAGATCTTGGACTTTTGTGCAGCACCCTGAGACAACTGTTTGTTGTGATACCGTGCTATATAAATACATTTGATTGATTGATTGAGTGTCAGGTGATGTAAACATGATCACATGATCTCTGCAGCAGAGTTAATACGTCACAACTCCTGGATTTATACTTTATACAGGAGGTCAGGAGGAGAATGTCTGTAGAAACTCTGACATTTGTGTTCACACATGATAATAAAATACAGAGGAACTTCACAGTTCATATCTGAAAGCAGCTTTTGTGTGTGTGTGTGTGAGAGTGTGAATACCCTGACAGCCAAAGCAAACACACAGCGTCTACAGAACCAGGGACTGAGGATGTTGCTGCCCTCTACAGGAGGAACATGACACTGCTGATGGAAACCTGAGAGAGAAAAATGTATTGTCATCGCGACATCAACATGCACAATAGACGTATCGCAAAAGACTTGAACTGCGATAAATGTCGTTCCCTGTGCCACGCATTCACACTCTGCATGTTAATATATTCGGCCAATCAGATGGGGCCTGCTGCCCTAGATAATAGATTAAAGATCTCTCTGTCTGTCTGCCTGTCTCACTCACCAATCCCACACTTCCCACAGATGAGGATCTGGTTGGTTGGATTTGATTGGCCATCCGAGTTTGGCCCCACCCCCCGACAGACAGAACATCGAGGCTCCTCCCCCGGCACTCCAGCTGCAATGTGATTGGACAAAAGATTCTGACTCACAGAGCAATGAGAGAATGACACAGAAAAGACAACGTGATGGAGAGTATGTCTTTGACTTTCTGTCTGTCCACCTGTCTCACGCTCACCGTGTTGGATATCCTTCCACAGAACCCAGAACTTGGAGTTATCTTCAAACGTGACGAAGCAGCTCTGTCTGGACGAGCTCACCTGTCCAATCACAGCACAGAGCTTTACAATCACAGCAAAATGACCAATCACAGCAGAGATTTACACCCACCTATTAAAGCACGGAGTTGAACAACAGCCAATCACAGCAAGTGTGTCTAAGTGTGAGTGTTTTAGTGTGGGTCTATGTGAGTATGTGATTAAGTGTGTGTGTGTGTTACCCTCTGTATCTTGCCCAGGTAGTAGAGTCCATCTGACCAATGGCAGAGGACAAACTGTCCGACACTCAGACTGGACCCCTCCCCTTCTTCTTCATCAAGACCGCGCCCCTTCTGACATACCCCGCCCCCTGAAGACACCTGAGGCTCCAGACCACAGAAGTCTTCAGTCAGGTCCTCAAACATCCTGCAGACAGACAGGTGGTCAGTGAAACAGGTGATCAGACAAACATGTCTTCACTAATACCTAATAAATGTAACTAATATATATTTATGAATTATATTACACAGATATAGCATAATGTAACTAATACACCGGGTTAGTTAACACACACACACGCACACAAACACACACAGTCGAACAGGTGACATGGTGAGACAGGTGAAAGTCTTACGTCCTCTGGTCCTGAGCCACAGACAGGCTGTTCCGTCAGATAGGTCGGACTGCACTGAGACAGACAGGTGATCTGTGTCTCCGTTTCCCTCTGATTTTCTGTCTCTCTCTGTCTGTCTGTCCCTCTTTGTCTCTGTTTCTCTCTCTGTGTCTGTCTCTCTCTCTGTCTTTGTCTCTCTCTGTCTCTGTCTCCGGCGCTAAACTTCTACCGTCGCCATTTTTTCACTTTTTCCCGCGGATCACAGGGGGGAGGTTTTGGTTTTGACATTTGCCATAGCGTCCTCTTCACTGACGTCATCACGTTGTCGTTGTTTCCGGAAGTAAATATCCGCATATCTTAACTCCAGCAGGTGGCGGTAATGCAGCTTAAACGGTAGGTTGCACCCGCCATTAAACAAGGGTAGAAGAAAATCATTCAAGCGTTTCAGCTTCGAGGTGAAAAGAGACAATTACAAGACTGTGAAGGAACTACATCTCCCACAATCCATTGCAAATGATCCTTTCCAACAACTTCCTCCTTCTTGAATTGACCTAGTCTCTTTTATGCGTCACCATGCTGAGATGCTAACATACTGCATGTTAGAGGAAGCATGGCCACCTTGTAGTAAACGTGATCTATGATAACCCTCACCCCCCACCTCAGTTTAATAAATGATCATATCTAATGATCTGATAAATTACTACTCTTATAATGACAATAATCATTTTATCATCACTATTATTTGTTGTTGTGTAATAAACCTGAATGTGAATCATCTGTTCGATCCATATTTGATCCATTCTTGTTTTTTAAATTTTATTTTGATAATAAATCATAAAACAGACGTCAGAACACAAAGTGTTTAATGGTCACATGTTTGTCATGAAATAATAACAGTTATTTATCCAATCAGAGAGAGACAGAGACATAGACACACAGAGAGAGAGACAGAGACATAGACACAGAGAGAGAGAGACAGACAGAGACATAGACACAGAGAGAGAGACAGACAGAGAAACACACAGAGGGAGAGAAACACAGAGAGAGAGAGACAGACAGAGACATAGACACAGAGAGAGAGAGAGACAGAGAAACACACAGAGGGAGAGAAACACAGAGAGAGAGAGAGAGACACACAGAGAGAGAGACACACAGAGAGAGAGAGAGAGACAGAGAGAGAGAGAGAAAGAGAGAGAGAGACACACACAGAGACAGAGAGACACACAGAGAGAGAGAGAGAGAGACAGACAGAGACACAGAGAGAGAGAGACAGACCGAGAGACAGACAGAGAGACAGACCGAGAGACAGACAGAGAGAGAGAGAGGGTTAGTACGAACGTGTCAGGATGTTATGAGAAAAAGACAAAATAAGCAATTCCACTTCCTCTGGATCCAAACTCTTGACAATCTGATTGTTTCTGGAGAAACTATGAAACCTTTTTGAAGATCAAATGAAACAAATGATAACATCACAGTCAACACGTGTCTCTAATCCTCTGTCATCAGTTAAACATTAACCCACAGGTTTGTTTCAAGTCAGAGTCCAGGTTCAGGGTCAGAGTTCAGGACTCTGGTCTGGCATTGGGGCGGATCTTCATCTCGGTGAAGCGGAGTGAGTACTGCCAGCCCGTCCAACTCGACCACTCCACACCGTCAGCGTAGGAGGCATGGCCTCCTCTCAGGTACTGCCCGTTCAAGTTGGAGGTGTGACAGTTACGGTACCACCACGCCCCCTGGTAGTACGCCGCACAGTTGTTCTCGGACTGGTCCTGGTCCCTGTCTTTGGTGGTAAACCGCATTCCAGAATGCTTCAGGAGGGAGTCACCTAGAGAGGTCAGAAGTCTCCTGTTGGTACTGTAGTACAGTGTGCAGTACAATGTGTGGTGCTGCAGTAGTTGTGCATTGGTATGAGTACCTGCAGTTCCAGAGAACTGGTCGATGGTCAGTGGGTATCCGTCTTCCTCTGGATTCACTGAGTCTCGACCAACAGAAAAATCTGCGTAACGAGCAAATGCCGTGGCGTTATCAAAGTCAGCCATGTCGATACGTAACTCTACACCACCTGACCTGGTGAGAGAGTACATCCTCTGTAGACCTGAGAGACAGACAGGTGGAGAGACAGACATGTAGACAGACAAAGAGAGTTTTATGAGCGCTTCATCTTTTTGTTTTAATTTAATCAAATTGTAATTTACAAACTTAACTAGTTCACCTAGTTAACTAGTAAAATTAGCAGGGCCACGTCTCAACAACACCTCTCACCACCTGTCAATCAATAACCTGGTTAACCACCATGATCTGTTTGATTCTTCATGTTCAATTGGAACACAACCACATCTCTTTCAGTCAGGATGTAGAATCCATCACAGCACAGAAACAGCTGTTAAAAGTCACTAATGACCTTTTCATGGCCTCAGATGATGGACTTGTCTCTGTCCTCGTCCTGTTGGATCTTAGTGCAGCGTTTGACACCATAGATCATAAGATCACAGAGACTAGAACAACATGAAGGGATCAGAGGAACATCAGACTGGTTTCAATCATATTTATCAGATAGATTTCAGTTTGTTAACGTCAACAATGACCCCCCCCCCATGCACATGCAAGTTAGTCATGGAGTTCCACAAGGTTCTGTCCTTGGACCGATAATCTTCACCTTATATATTCTCCCTTAGGCAACATCATCAGAAAGCACCACATACACTACCATTGTTACGCAGACGACACCCAGCTGTACATTTCTATGAAGCTATGAAGTAAGAGTAGAACAGGAGGTAGAACCTTCAGCTACCAGGCTCCTCTCCTGTGGAACCAGCTCCCACTCTGGGTTCTAGAGTCTGTAAGAGTAGAACAGGAGGTAGAACCTTCAGCTACCAGGCTCCTCTCTAGTGGAACCAGCTCACACTCTGGGTTCCTGAGTCAGACACCATCTGTCTTCCTCTTCTGGATCAGGTCCTGAACCATCCCTTAGTTACACTGCTATAGGACCAGACTGCTGGGAGAACTCCCATCATGCGCCACACCGAATATTGGTAAAGTTAATGCCCATGTTATCTGGTGATATCAGAACAAAGATAAACGCAGAATACCTAATAACGTGTCAGTGGTCATATGAAGAATAAGAATGAAAACAACCCAAATGCTGATCAGAAAACGGTTTCAATTGATATATATTTATTTTTAGTAGTTTCTGTAATGCAAGTGGTATTTATCACACGTAACAGATTTAAAAACAAATACACTGAAGCACAGTGTAAAAATAGACATACACACCCCACAAGAAGAAAGCCAGAAGACAAAGAGGACAAAGTTGCAGATGTACTTCACACTAACATGTTATCACAGAGGTTTTGTTTTGGCTCCACTTAATGACAATGTTAGTGTGTCCCCTTGCGAGGTGCATAATTATGCTAAACCATGGTTACTCACAGGTTCAGAGACTCCTGCTTGTAGCTGTTTTGGTCATTATTGTGTGTTGTGTTAACCATCACTGCAGAGGAGACCCAGACAAGGTGTGTCCAAGAATGCTCAAGCTCTGTGCTGCTGAGCTGGAGGAGTTTTAAATCTGAGCCTGTGACTGGGGAGCGTCCCGACATTAGGGTTAGGGTTAGGGTTAACCCTAACCCTAACCCTAACATCTCACATTCTTTCTTGACTTTTTTTTGGGCTTTATTTTTTGATAGGACAGAGAGCTAGCTGGGAAGGGGGACATATAGAGAGTGGGGGAGGACATGCAGCAAAGGGCCGTGGTCTGAATCGAACCTTGGAGCTCTTCCTCCTTCTCAACCCCAGGTCAGCCACGCACTCGTCCCACAGCATGTTTTTGCCGAACGGAGAGGGAGGCTGGGCATCACGATATTGGCTGTCAGTCATTGTCAATAGATGAGCCCAATCCCAATAAGAACAAGAGAACTTGACAGAGCTGGGCATGTTGCCCGTGGCTGCCAGGTCATGCCCAGTTTGGGAGAGCAGCTCATTTTTTTATGATATTCAACCCAACTTTTAAATGTACTATTTTTTAAGCAATCACATTTAATGGGGTGGTTGATTACGCTTTGCTCTGTAATGTGACAAACTATTTTTCATTGCTTTACACAGTCTTTAAATCATATATCGTTAATCAATCAATTGGATCAGGTATTTCATCAGTAAGTGTGTGTCTCACCAAGCCAATGTTCTCCTGTTGTTTGTCCGAAGCCATCTCTGTACGCTTCCCAACCTCTGAAGAAATTAACAGAACCATCCTGCCTCCTCTGGATCACCTGCACACACACACACACACACACACACACACACACACACATTGAGCAAGTTAAACCAGTTCCCTTCTTTCAGTTCATGTGGTGACCAGCAGAAGGCACTGCTGTTTGACTCTGTGTTTGGTACCGTCCACCCTCCTCCGTCTGTTGACATGTCACAGTAGACCATGAAGCCGTCGGGGTCATGTGTGGGAAAAACAGAATAAACTCCGTCCTGAGAGATGCCAGACGCCATGACATCACTGCAGTCTCTGGGTCTGACCGCTAAGGGCGAGAGAGCATCACACACAGTCAGAGAAAGAGAGATAGAGTTCTGTTGGAGTAGTTGCATGGCTGTGTTATTGTTATTGTGTAGTTATATACCTCTGTTGTCATTGTGTTTGTGCAGCTCTGCCTTCAGTCTCCTCAGACTCTCTGTCTCCCTCTCCAGGCTCAGCAGAGAATCACTGACACCTGTTGATATCTTGGACATACCTGAGTGAACGTCTGTTAGCACCTGCACAGGTGAGGAAGAGGATGACATTCACCTGAGGCTTTTATTTTGTTAATTTTTAGACTTCCTGGTACCTGGACTCACATGTATGATGCGACTCTGCTCGCTCTGCAGTCCATCCAGCCGTTGGTCCAGAACACCTTGACCTCTTTTCAGAGAATCAGCTTCCACCCTCATGTTGTGGGCATGGCCTGATAACACCTTCAGTTCTTCAGCCAGTTTCTGGACCAGTCCTATCTCCTGCCAGTCGTCTGTGTTGTGATTGGTCAGCGCTCGCAGGACAGAGCTCTGCAGCGCCTCCCAGCGCAGGAAGCTCTCACTGTAGTCTTGACAGTTGGGGTCCAGGAAGATGCTGATTGGTTCTCCTGCTGTGACACGTGACACTGTCACCAGTGCTCCAGACTCTTTTGAATTGGTGGAAACCACAGGTGAGGAGGAGACTCCACCCCTGTTGACATGGCAACATTGAATCAGGTGAGACAGAGAGACAGACAGGCAGAGAGACAGACAGGGAGAGAGACAGACAGGTGTTACCTGCTGATGAATGGGA